TAGGGTTCCTTTATTCCGATGTCCTCTCTGGGGCCTGAATCCGTGGCAGTAAACGAAAAAAGAAGGAGCAAGTGAAGCAAATGCCAGCCACTGCGAATCTCCAAGAACATTTCCCCTGGCAACTCTACAAAAAAAGGCCCAACCTCATTAGCAATAATCCTGAGTTCTCTGTGACCCACGGGCACATTCCAAGGGATACCAATGGTCTGAGCCTTAGAATTACACCTGGAATGAACCAGGTTAGATATTAATGACTCCCCTTTAGCCACACCATTTCCCATGGAATCAAAAGAGCAAGGCTTTGTGACACAGCATAGCCATTGACCCATTCTCTGCATCAGAATTGTAACCCTCACACCAAAGCCAGTCACTCCGGTGCGCTCGGGGTCTACATAGAGGATACAGGAACCCTCCAGCTAAACTCCTTGATAAGAACTTCATAGTTAAACCATGAGTAAACCTGCCACCTTGTATATTAATAACCAAATAAAGCTTACTCCCTAAGCTTTTTCAGTTAAGATCTTTCTCTTTCCGTTTCCCCAGGCACTGCAGGTCAAACACTTCTTTGATGCCAGGTGGATGTGTGAATTAAGCCTGGCCAGTTAGAGTACCGGGTTCTCCCTAGCAGCATAGTTGGACGGAAGTTAGTTGTTAGGAACAGTCAGGACTAATGAAAAACAATGGGACCGTGTTGGCTGTCATGCCGCCATGATGGAACTGGGCAGAGACACTGCCGACAAAGAGAACGGTAGTGCTGAGAGAATTATGCAGATGGAGTCTTGATGACATCAGCTGAGTTCTGGATCAAGCCAGCTGGAGATGGAACAAAAAGCTCCCAGACTTTCAGTTCCCTGAAAAAGTCAATTCTCTGTTCAGCTTGTCTGGACCGGATTTTCCATCACTCACCACAGAGTGCCCTGATATGCACGGTACAAACAGCCCTGAGGGACATAAGCAATGACTCACCTAGGAGGAGGCTCTGAAGCAGGCACCCTATTTCCTTCCCAAGAACAGAGAAGGTCATTCTGAGATAGTGTTACCACCACAGTTACTTGGCCGGGTCTCTCCCCCTAGATCTCAAGTTGTTCTTGACCCTCTTGGTATGATTGTCCTTCGCCCCTGGTTCTCAGTCAGCCACAGTTCTCAGTCTTTGATTATTTATCTAGTCTGAATATTCAACTTCTGCCAACCCCTGGATCAATGGTTCTCAACCTATGAGTCGCTTTGGGGGACAAATGATGCTTTCACAGGGGTCCCATATCAATGGTTCTCAACCTTTAAGTCCCTTTGGGGGACAAATGATGCTTTCATAGGGGTCACATATCAGATACCCTGCATATCAAATATTTACATAATGATGATAATAGTATAAAATTACAGTTACGAAGCAGCAATGAAATAATTTTATGGTTGGGGTTCACCACGATGTGAGGAGCTGTATTAAAGGGTTACAGCATTAAGAAGGTTGAGAACCAAAGCCTTAGATAGACATGGAAGATGAAGTGGTTTGGATAGCTTGTAACTATGTCAGTCTTTTCTGTCTTGACCCTCTGTGCTCTGATTAGCAATCGTAATGCAACCCTGTCTAACTCACTCCCATCCAATCATGTAAACAGCTTTTTAAGGGAATACACCGACTCACTTAGACGAAGATCTCAGTTGCTTAGACTTCCCTCCCCTGGCTTTTTCATAAAATGGTCTGGGGCCGATAGGAGAGAAACCGCTGGGTCAATGAAATCTAGGTGCCTGGGGTTAGGTATTTTCCCAGCTGGATAGCATCTCTATGCATCAGAGAGACGGCTGAAGTATGGCTCTCTCCCAGGACTGCCCTGCTCATCTATGTTGACTAGACCTAGGCTGCTCTCAGCAACACTGCATCCTTGCCAACCCACCGGCCTGGTGCTGACTAGGAAGTTCAACACCAACACTGGTTGGTCACCGCCCGCCACCCGCTATGATGAATGTCACAGTAATCCTGCAGCTACCAGTTCAGCATCTACCCACACAGTGACAAAAGGAAAGACCCAAGACCTTCCAGGGACACTGTGTGCGCCTGACAAACATGGCTGTCCCTAGCATGATGTGTTACTAACTTTATAACGTGGTGCTCACCTTCCCCTTGCATTTATTGTAAATCAGACTGAACCATTGAGGGGGTGAGTGGGCAGACCTCTGAGCATGTCTGCAAGAGCGTTTCCAAGGATAAGTACATTATAAGAACTCTGACTTCATCAATCAATGGCGCTATCGAGAGGTGGTTACAGGTAGGAGGTAGACCTATTTGGAGGAAGTAGGACCCTGAAGGGATGCCTGGAGTGGTTTATCTTATCTTGTCCTCTTCTGGCAATTCCTCTCTGCTTTCTGGTCAGCCACGTCATGATCAACTCTCCTCCATCTCCAGTTTTTGCTGTCTGGCTGGATAAGCAGTGAATGGCTGTCCAGCTATTGCCCTGCAGTTCTGGCCCAGAAACAATGGCCTGAGCCCCCTAAGACCATGAGTCAAAATAAATTTTTTTAAAAGCTGCTTCTATCAGGCATTTTGTCCTGATACCATAAAAGTAACTAATATATTATTGGTTTTTCGAAACAGGGTTTCTCTGTAGCTTTTGATGTCTGTCCTGGAACTAGCTCTTGTAAACCAGGCTGGCCTCAAACTCACAGAGCTTCACCTGCCTCTGCCTCCCGAGTGCTGGGATTAAAGGCATGCACTACCACCACCCGGCCTAGAACATTATTTTAAGATGGGTTACACTTGTTTATGCTGTGAACATTTAATGATGCAAAGATGGGTTGTATTCTTTTCTTTGTTGCTTTTTGAGACAGGATTTCTCTCTGTAACAGCCCTGGTTGTCCTGGAACTAGCAGGCTGGCCTCGAACTCACAAAGATCCACTTGTCTCTGCCTCCTGAGTGCTGGGATTAAAGGCATGCACCACCATTGCCCGCCTGTGTTATATTCTTTTATGTTACATTTGTTTAACTCTGTGAAGCTGTGTTACTTTGCCTATCTAAACCTCCTGATTTGTCTAATAAAGAACTGAATGGCCAATAGTTAGGCTGGAGAAAGGATAGGTGGGGCTGTCAGGCAGAGAGAATAAATAGGAGGAGAATTCTTGAGAGAGAGAAATCAAGGAGCGAGAAAAGAAGGGACCAACCATCAGCAACACAGCCAACCATGGAGTAAGAAGGAAAGAAAAGATACACAAAACAGAGAAAGGCAAAAGCCCAGAGGCAAAAGGTAGATGGAATAATTTAAGAAAAGTTGGCAAAACAGGCCAAGCTAAGGCCAGGTATTTATAAATAATATAACTCTGTGTGCATTTATTTGGGAGCTGGGTAGCAGGCCCCCCAAAGATTAAAGAATAAAATAACCAATTACACTAATACCCTAGCCATGGCCTAGAAAGGACGACTCAACGAGCCGGCTGCCAGCCAGCCCCCATCCTTCCTCCTTCCTGCCTCTATTTCTGAATAGAAAAGGATCTACTTGTGTTCTGCTTCCTCTGCCCCGCAAGTTCTTTCGCTCCAATGCCATCCAATCAAATCTTTCTCCTATGCTATGGCAGAGATCTTTGAGATAGGCCATTCAGGCTCAGTTGCTGAGTTCGGAGATTTATTATGTTCAAGACAACGGTCTGACTGCACAACTTCTCCAGATCTGAATCCCAAGGACTAGGTATCAAGTTGTGTTTCCTCTGCATTTCAAAAATAACTTTCACAACCCCTGTCGCATTCGAATAGAAAGAATGCTAGAGACAGAGCCGCCGAGGGCTGTCAAAAGGAATTTAATGCGACGGTGCGCACGCTCTGTGTCTGTGCTCTGCTGTGCCGTAGCTGCTGCCGTGTGTGACCACTGAACATCTGAGATATGTGGACTGTGCTGGAGGGCCTACTCCCAGAGACCTAATGACAACCCAGGAGGCCTCACTTCTTGAACTTCTCACCCCGTTCTAGTAACACAGAGCTGGAGAGAGAGCCTTTAACGCTTGAGCATTTGGGAGATGTTCCAGATCCAACCTCGAAGCCGTAGCTAGAGAAAGCAGTCTAAAGCATGACTGAAAGAAGGGACCACTTTGCCAGTGTCAGGCTCATTTTGAAGATTACTTGTTGTCCAGAGCATGTAAGAAGATGCTTGAACAGGGTGATGGCTAATATCTATTGTCAACCTGACTGGACGTGGAATCCCCTAGGATGCACACCTCCGGGTACATCAGAGGCATTGAACTGGAGTGGGAAGACTCACCCTGAGTGTGAGCATCAGCACCCCATGAGCTGGAGTAAAAAGAAGAAAGCGAATGGTGCATCAGCATAAATCTCTGCTTTCTGACCATGGATGCAACGTGACTTGATATTCCAGCTGCCACACCTTCCCTGCCATCCCAGTCTGTATCCTCAAGCTGTAAACCGGAAAAAAAAAAAACAGAACAAAACACCTGCACTCTGTTAAGTCATTTTGATCAGATTTTTGTCACAGCAAGAGAAAAGTAACTAACACATCTAGTTTTTTAGCACTTTTTTTTTTTTTTTAACCTGGCTTGAGAGCAGAGAGCTTCGGTAACGCCCTCTGGGGCTCGGAAGAATCGAATGTATTACTTGAAGTCATATGCCAGGAACTGTCTAGAATCTGGGTTGGCATAGAGTTAGGATAGGAATGAAGAAGGTGCCAGAAATGATATGGCGGAGTGGGGAAAGGTGTGATCATTTGGGGAAACTGTTGACAGAAAGAACATAGCACAGGTTAGCTCACGACAGCATCAAACTGGACATTCCTCAAAGCACTAATACACTTGAGCCCTCATGCCGTTCTCCTCCAGCCTTAGGTAGGAGCCTTGCAGCCTCACATTTACGGTCTTTATCCTCAGACGTGTTTCAGCTTGCCGAGTTGTTTGTATGCACACAATCTTCTCGGACCCCCTGTATCCCCGTGGCAATAGCAAAGAACTCAGAGATCAGTCTCAAGAGAAAGGTGTCTTGACTCCCAGTCCGTGGCAGTTTTCTTACCTGTAAAGGGTTGACTGCCTGTCCCAAAGATCAGCGTTTATCTCTCTGCTGCATAAGCTGCCTCCTCTCTGGTCACTGCAGTAGAAAGAACAAAAACCTTGGCCGACCTTAATATACTTCCAGCATGTCATATACATGCCTCACCTTGCGGATGCATCAGAAGAGACCAGAGTCCCACCAACAGGAATCTATGTGCCTTTGTGGCAGGAGTGGGGCCAGCTGAGATGGGAACCTGTGATTGTTTTCTGTTTTGTTTTGTTTTTTAGCGAAAGGCCAATAAAGGGAATTTATTTTATGTGCCCACAGAGGGAAGAATGACAAATACAGTGCAGTGATCTCTGGGGATAATGACATGATGTTTAAGGGTTTTATCTCTTTTTTTAATTGATTTTTATTGAGCTCTACATTTTTCTCTGCTCCCCTCCCTGCTTCTTCTCTCCCAAGATCCCCATGCTCCCAGTTCACTCAGAAGATCTTCCCACGTAGATTAGATCCATGTAAGTCTCTCTTAGAGTCCTCATTGTTGTCTAGGTTCTCTGGAATTGTGATTTGTAGGCTAGTTTTCTTTGCTTTATGTTTAAAAACCACTTATGAGTGACTACATATGATAATTGTCTTTCTGGGTCTGGGTTACCTCACTCAAAATGATGTTTCTAGCTCCATCCATTTGCCTGCAAATGTTTTTTTTTCTGCTGTGTAGTACTCCATTGTGTACATGTACCACATTTTCCTTATCCATTCTTTGGTCGAGGGGCATTTAGGTTGCTTCCAGGTTCTGGCTATGACAAACAATGCTGCTATGAACATAGTTGAGCACATGTTTTTGTGGCACGATTGAGCATCCTTTGGAAATATACCCAAAAGTGGTATTGCTGGGTCTTGAGGAAGGTTGTTTCCTAATTTTCTGAGAAATTGCCACACTGATATCCAAAGGGTCTGTGCCAGCTTGCACTCCCACCAGGGAACCTGTGATGTTAATAGGAAGCCCAGTTTAGGCCAGACATGCCAGGCCATCTGCCAGAACATGCCTCTGTTAGTCATCACCTTTCCTCCCTCAGGACGGCTCTGCAGAGCTCACACAGGCAGACTGCTGACTCAGACAGTTCCGCAGCTGACTGATGCGCCGAAGTTCCTGCATGAGTATTTGTGGGAACATGCTCTGTGCACAATCCCTTTTCTGTACCCCAAAGACACTTACTTTCCAGTGTGTTTCCTCATTACTCTCTCCTATGACCTAGGATCCTGGAATGGTAGGCAGCTTACTCTTCCTCAGGTGAGTTGACAGCAGATCCTCCAGGCCCAGGTAGCTCCAGCTTCCTTCCCCATATACTCTTTCAGACCATATTCTAGGAAGAGGCGCTGGGTTCCTTGGAGCACAATTGACTTTCCTGTGCAGAAGCAACTAGACCTAAGTGCTCTAAAGCCACCCACGGGGAGACTAATTCTTCCTACAGCCATTCTCCAAGCATCCATAGAGGATGCGCAAAGGGAGGGGGAGTGATGGGGTTTGTGACTGGAAGAATGGCCCATTCTGTCCTGGATGTGCAAGCAAGTCACCCCAGTCCTCTCCTCTGGTCTCCCTCTGGCCCATTTTCCACCAGTGCCAGGATAGCAGGCATGCTGGCGTCAGAGAGCATTCATTCACACACACCGTTATTAAACACTGAGCCAGGTGCTCTCCTGAGGAGCTGGAATGTTGCTGGAGGGCACTGGCAGGCCCTGCTGCCTGTGAGCTTCCTGGAGAGGTCTCAGAGGAAACTAGTCCCCCGGTTGGGGATGGCACCTGGAACCCACGAAGTCACTTCTCACCAATGTCTGTGGACTCAACCTGTTCCCTGCTATAAGAGGCTAACAGGGGGGGGACAGAAAAAGCATTTTGTAGAGAATATTGGAAGGTGAGAGAAATGTCAGGGCTAGGGGGATTTGATTGTGGCCTGGATGGAGACCGAACTCTGCTGGGCAGTTCCCAAGCAGAAATGCAGAGTATCCCCAGCCTCAAGACCACTGAGGTGTGACAGCGAGAAGGTGCTTGCTAAGGAGAGCCCAGAAGCAAGGTGAGACCCTTCCAGGACCTCAACCTTGTGCAATCCTGGCCCTGAGCCAGACTGACCAGGCTAACTGCAGTGGCGTACCACAGCGGGTATCCCGGGGCACGCAGGTGAAAGTGCTTGCATTGCAAGCCTGATGACCACCAGTTGGCTACCTCGCTCCCACGCTGGGAGGAGAGAATCAGCTCCCAAAATTTTTCCTTAACCTCCACTAATGCACCATGGTGCCTGAGCTCACACACTACAGCTGGAATAAAACAAAATTCTTGAGAAGGAAACAAAGCTAACCAGATCCCCACCCCCAAAGGAATAGCACACCCCAAAACAGCAACCTTCAGTCTTCCTGCCCACGCGTTCTCTGCTATAGACGCAGGGGTCATCGGGAGCATGGTTGTCATTTCTTGGAACCCAAAGCCTGTCAGCTTGCCATCATCCACTTCCCCAAGGACACAAGCATTTCTCATTTTCTACAAGGTCAATGTTTCTGACCTTGGCTATTGTGCAAGCTCTGTAACTCTCCTGACCCTCTCCCTGGAGCCCCTCCACTGGGGACTTGCACTCTTTCATGCTGAATTCCTTCTGTTCTGGAGCGTCTCCTGGAATTTAAGTAAATTGCTATCGCTTCATGTCCCATGAAAACCTCCATGACAAACCCTGGATGGCTGGATGATCAGTGGAACTGACTTGAACTCGTTTGGAACATGCTGCTCCCAATAATGAGACCACTGCTCCGAGAGTCCTAACCTGTTCTGAACGGCCAAGATCAGAAATGCAGGCCTCGGTGCAGGTCTCAGGGCTGCCTAAGAAAGCACTTACAGGCACAAGCATGGGCAGAGCTGGTTCTGATGGGAGGCAGAGCTGGACGTGCCAACTTTTCTAGAAACATGCAGAAAGCAATTGGTGAGCTGGCAAGAATTCTGGGCGGGATCTCAGACAATCAGGTCCCTACTAAGTCCATCTGGTCTTCGTGAGTCTTGAATATATCACTAGCCTCCTTGGGCTCATCATTCAGGTATAAATTCCAGTGGAAACGCACAAAGACATTCAAGAATCATTTCCATCCTAGCTTTGAAAGCCTATGGCATAGATACAAAGGACTCAGGCCTCTCAAGTGGAAAGAATTACTGACTGCCCCTTGCTTGGGCTGGAAGCTCAAAAGGGAGAATTAAAATTCCATTCTCTGAGGCACAGAAAGGTCAGAGGTCTCCTAACCAAGCCTCTCTTTCCGAGCCCTTTTCACATACAATAAGGCCACAGACTCCTGCTAGTACTGGAAGGCCACTCCTCCAGCCTGGAACTCTGAAGTTTGGCTTCGCTGGAATTTCTTAATGCATAAGTTACAGGAATCAATGATTAATACTCATTATTTTTTTTTTTAACCATGGACTCACTAGTTCAAGAGTGAGCCTCTCAAGGCTTATCTGAAAACCACTAGAATAGATAAAATGGGTAAATTCTGCTCTTCCTCCACAAGGCCAGGTCCTACCAAGTGAGAGCCACCGAGCAAGGTCACTGGGAGCAGAACTTGATTTAGCTCACATGGAATGATATGATGGTTTGCGAGAGAGGTATGGGCAGAGGGGGTGCCCCTGTCAGCTCAGGAAGTCAGCCCTGTCAATCCAGTGCTCAGCTCCAAGATCCATAATCAGGAGCAGATGGTTCATTCTTTGACATGCTGGTAGAAGCAGAGCTGGCCAGGCCCTCTTGTCCATCACTACTTTACTCTTGAGATGAGGAGACAAGTTAAACAGAGTTCAGTCTATCCCCAGCGGAACCCCAGCCTGGCCCAGGGAGAGGCACACTTTCCGAAGACTTACACTGGGGAGCACAGATCTTGAGCGAAGCTGCCTAGGGTGGAGGTCTCACACTCACAGCTAGCTGAGGTCTTGGGTCAGAAGCAGCACACTCCCACGGCTGACTCCTGTGGTACCGCAACACGGGTTTGTCACATCTGTATGGAACAACACGGGTGTGCAAGAGGCAGTCTTTATCTAGGGTGTCTTGTGGGGGCGGGGTAGCAGTGGTGCTTTGCAGGTTGGCCTGGGATTGGTGGGATCTGTAACTTGATCTTCGGTCAGGCTTGGGGACTGGTGGGTCTGGATGTCATCTGGCCAGGGAAGAGTTCCTCAGAAGCCTGATTACTCAAGCTCTTCTAGAAATTACTGAGATTCCTCTACCTGGATGCAACCTTGGCAAAACAGGAAATGGCAGGATTTTTCAACACTACCCATTGGCAATGAAAGGGGGTAGAAGGGGGTACTGTCCTTTTTCTCTTATTGTTGGAGACTTAGTTGTGCTTCCAGTGAAGACAGTTGCTCCGTGTCCCCACGATGGTCCAGAAGAGGAAGAATTTTTATAAACCCTAAGATCACTAACTCTCAGACCAGGTTTCCAAAGCTGAGAGGGGCTTCAGGGGAGAAAGCGAAGCGGGGAAACCTCTGGAAAACCTTCTCCTCTCATGGTGTTGCCTTGCAATGAAGCCTTGTGTGACTTTCCAACAAAATGTTTCCCACCTGTACCCCGGTATTAAAGCCTCTTTAGTGTCCTTCTGCCACCAGGTGTGAGAACAATTCTGACTTGCGTGCTTTGGAAGCCCCACACATTCCCAAATCCAGGCCAACATCACAGGCTTGCAGCCCCTTCTCTCTACCCCTACATATCACAAGTAGGAACTGTTTGGCCTCTGCCTCCACACTTACCCTCTCTGATCCTCTAATTAGTCCATGAAGACTCACCTCTCCTGAGAAAACACCTGCTGACCTTGCTCGCTCTCTCTTTACTCTGATTCTTGATATCAGCTGGTATTAAGAAAGCTAAAAATCCCACAGCAGTGACGTGAAATGTCCTTCTGTATATGTATTGTTCTTTATTGGTTGATGAATAAAGCTTTTTCGGTCAATGGCTTAGCAGAGCAAAGCCAGGCGGGAAATAGGAACAGAGATAGAGAGAAAGAGTAGGCAGAGTCAGAGAGATGCCATGTAGCTGCTGAAGGAGTCAAATGCCAGAGAACCTTACCTAGTAAGCCACAGCCCCGTGGCGATATACAGATTAACAGAAATGGGTTGATTTAAGATATAAGAGTTAGCCAGAAATATGCCAAAGCTGTTGGCCAAACAGTGCTGT